AGCCCCCAGCTTCAGACCAATGGCAGCCACGCAGGCACCCCCCCCCCCCACACACACACACACACACACATACCCAAGTGCCTCCCCCACTCCTGGGACTGCCCTCGGTACTGCCCACCCGCACTCTCCCCCTCCAGCCCTGCCACACCTAGGAGCCACCTGCTGCCGGAGAGTGAGGGTTGCCATCTGGGGGACCCCTCCAGGCTCAGGAGTTGGGGTGCGAACACCCAGCTCCTCTCCGTGGGCCGGCCCTGGGCACGCCCACTGGTTTGCTGCCCAGAGCTGCCCGCAGGGTGAGGCTCCTGCAGCGGCCCTACTGCCCTCCAGGCTTCTCAGCGTCAGCTTCTGAGAAGCCCAAACCAAGACACCTTCCTTTCTGGGCCCTTCAGGCAGAAAGGGTGCCCCTGTCTCACCCCTGCCAAGGCGGTGGGTAAGTGGGAGGGGCCACAGGTGTCCAGCTGGGCTGGGACCACTTCTGCCCCCTGGTGTTCAAGGCAGTCACAGGCCCGCCCAGTTTCAAGGGGGGAGGGGAGAACGGATTCCGATTACTATTATTTTTGGAGAAGTCTTTGCTATAGGGCATGTGCACTCGCCAGAAAGACAGAGAGACAGCAAGAAATCAGCCCCCAGGGGGGATGGCCACGCCACAATCCCTTCTCTCCATTCCCTCGGGATCTCGGGCATGCACACACACGCGCCCGGCGTGAGTTTAAGCCACCAGGTCCGGGACTCGAACTGCGGTCGACTACATGGGAGTTTAGCGACACAGCCATTACGCCAACTGCTGATCCCCAGATTCCAATTCTTCCTGCCTTCCGCCCAGTGTACCCAGGGCCAAGTCTAGAACTCGCATCTCCCTTAGAGAAGACGGCCTGGTCCTTGGCTGTTCTCTCACTGCATTTCTTCCGCACCTTCTTTATGTCGAGCATAGGGACCAGAGGCATGCAGGGAGCAAGACAGAGATCTCTGTCCTCGGGGATCGCGCAGCCCCCGGGCGAGAACGGCAATGCCCAGTACAGGATGAGCGAGGCCATTTCAGATGGGAAGGCCGCCCCCTCCCCCTGGGCAGGGCCCACGGGACTACATTTCCCAGCCTCCCTTGCAGCGCCTGAGCTTGGATCATGGAGCAATGCATGAGGACCAGGAGGGGGGGGGGGGGGGGAGAAGACCCTGGGAGCCCAGAATGGGAGGCACAGGGGCCTGGGAACCCCCTTGCCCCTCCGTTTTGAGGACCAGCCCGCCCCAGGTTTTTCCTAAAGCCCTTGGTTCCTTGCATTTGTGCCCGTAAACATCATCCATGAAGGAAGAGCCAGATCCAGCTCAGGTCAAACCCCTGGGCTGCTTCCAGATGGGGGAGACAAGCCAGTGTCACTCCGAGCCACCCTGGTTCCCTTGGAGATGTTGGTACCCCAGAGCCACCAGTGCCCACCTGTCCGACTCACCCCTCAGAATGCCAGGGCTCTCTCTAGCCCACTCCTAGCAGGTGCAGAGGGCACTTGGAGCAAGCTGGACAAGCTCTTGGAGCCTCCCTCTTCTCATCTGTGAAACGGGAGAGGGAGGGCCTGGGCAGAGGCCAAGCTTGGCCGGCTCGCAGGGGTGTTGCAGGACAATCAAATGTGTCAGATGCCAGCGCTGTGCCTGGCTGTCCCCTGTGTACATACACCCAGGAACCTCACGTGGGAGGTGACGAGGAAGGAACAGGCCTTGGGCTGTGGCCCACGTGTGGACAGCTGCCTGAAGCCCTGGCCCTCAGGACTGCCCTCTCTTCGGCCAGCAGCTCCCTGGCAGGATCAGGGTGGTCCGAGCTCCTGGGGTGGCCTGCTCAGCGCGTCCACCCTCTCCGGCCAGCGCCAGTGCGCAGCCGAAGTCCCTCAGTCCTGTCCCCTAGGGCTGTGACAGCGGGCGGGACGCAGCCACGGCTGCTGCATTTCTTAGAACCCTGCGCGCCTCGGAGATTCAGAGAAACCGGCTTTCAGAGAAAGTGGCGACCGTGTGCCGGCATGACAGCAACCACAGAGCCCGCCACAGGCCAGGT